AGAATGTCTCAGTGATCGGTGGAAAACACAATAATTAGGGCCCTTGAGGTCCTTCTTCGGCAAAAGCTCTTCGACACAAGGCAACTTCAGTTCCCCGTCTGCCACTTATTCTTTAACTAAGGCCTTCACTTCCTCAACACTACACGGAAAATGAGTGTCATCTTCACAGTGTTTCCTCTTTTGACCTCTGAATTCCTCCCCCTGCGACTTTCGTGTAGAAGACGTGGAAGCCGCAGTGACAGAAGGTCTTGGAGATGACTTGAAACTGGTTTTATAACTAGTCTCGAACCCGATCTCCTGAGACTGAGGTATGTTAATATTCCGAGATGCTTTAATTAGTGCCGAGAAGGTGGGTAGCTTGTGATTAACAAAAAGCATCTTGTACCCATTCAATGCCCCTTTAACACAGATTTGAACCAAGTAGCTTTCCTCCACAGCCTCATGACAGTCCACGGCTTTGTCTTGGAACCTCTTCACATATTCGAGAATATCTTCACCTTCTCGTTGTTTTTCCTTACATAGGGTAAGTGCGGTTACCTTCTTAGTCGCTTGAAAGAATTTGGCGTGGAATTTGTTGACCATCTCCTCCTAACTCCGAACAGAGTTTGGGGTTAAGTTAACATACCAACTATATGCTCGATCGGTGAGGGACTTGGAGAATTCTCTCAGTTGGTGGACATGATTTGAACTATGAATCCCTAAAGTTTCGATGAACCGCACAACATGTTCTCGAGCATTTCCTTGCTTGCCATCAAATTTGATGAACTTCGGTACCGTGTACCCCTCTGGGTATGGATAACTCAACATCTCGATAGGGTAAGGCTGCTTGACATTCGGATCAGGCAAAGAGGGTAAAGTCCTCTTGCCCCGTTTGAGATCGAACATGGCTTGTACATCGGGAGAGTGAGAAACTGTTGAGGGAGAAAGTTTGATGGTGGCATTCCCAGAACTTGGCTTATGGACCCCAAGACTGAACTAGGACTAACTTGGCCACTCTGGTGTTGAGAATTCATCATCAATGAAGACACATGACGATATTGGCCATCGGCACCTATGGACATGCCATTTGGTGATAAGACGTTGCATTGGGCCCCATAAAGTTCATTGCACGCCGCGGCTATACTGGGTTGGACTTGCAAACTTGGCGTCAGAGCCAAATGAGACCCACTCGGTACATGAGTAGAATTTACAATCGGTGGAACAAAATTAGGCATGGATGGAACACCATTTCGTAGAGGAATTTCTATAGACCTTCTTTGAACTTCCACAGCAGCTGGAACACCATTCATCGCGTTGGAAACTCCTCCAACCACCGCTGGACCATGGCTCGATCCTCCAGGTGTGTGATTTTGCGCTCCATGGGCCGCGGGTTGGTCATGAATTGTTTCTCCTAGCACTTGATTTTGCACGCCATTTTGTGCAATTTCAGGGAGAATTTGGAGTGGATATTGATGGTTTTGACTATTCCCAACATTACCAAGAAGTTGATGCTTGTTGGCACCGATTTGACCTCCATTTGTTGCTGGTGGTGCAAAATTCGAACCCATCACCAACACGGTGTGGGTGAGATTTTGAAGGGTCATGAGAATCTCTTGTTGAGTATATTGGAGTCCTTGAATGGCTTCTAGGATGAGAGGTGGGTCTTGAACTTGAGTCCTTTCATCACCACCATTGGAAAAGCCTAGTTGATGAACTTCATTTTCTCCCGCCATCCTTGTTATAGTTGTATGGGTTCCAGATCTCGTTGAGACCATTAACCAATCTGCCTCCCCAGTGGAGTCGCCAAATGTATGTGAGGGTTCAAGAAATTTGTTGGAAAATTCGAAGATCCTTGAAGAAAAATTCGAATTCTCTAGAAGATGATGAGAGGCTTAGATTCTTTAATAGTCTTAACTAAGAACACAAGAGTAAAGGGATGATGGAGATAAGAGATTGGGTGAAGAAGAAGGCAAAGCAATTAGAGAGAGAATAATGGCAAGACTCTCCCATGGATCTCCCACTTTCACTCTCAAGGTTGATAATGGAGAAGCAAAATTAGTTCTTTCCCAAAACTTATCTCTCCAAAAATCCATCCCTTGTAAAGCTATGGGTGGGCGCTATTTATAGGTATCTCATGATGTAGGATGGAGCCCATGTGCAAGGCACATGGGGAATATTCTCTCTAACCACCTTGTCCGAGGAGGTGACCTCTCCGAGGATGAGAAAAACCCTCGAAAAGGAGATCAATCTCTCGGTGAACCCTTCTTCTTAGCCACACCTAACCAATGATCCCTGTGGGAGCTGAATAAATAAAGGAGTCGGAAGGCGCGTACCCCAGAAATCAGATATCATTCGGCTCCATATTGCGTGACTAGGATGCCGAATACGTTAGGAAGGCCGAATAGTCGGAGATCAGTAACTCCGAATAAATAAAAGGGGAATGGGATAAAAGTAGACTCAGGCCCCGTGGCCCAGAAAACAAGTATAAATACAAGAATCACAGATTTAGAAAGGTATGTAAGAATCACTTCACTTAACTTAGTAAACAAGCTATCCTGAGTGTCTGAACTGACTTGTCCGTCAGAGTGCTAATTCCGACACCCCCGATCGGAGTGTTTGTATCTTTTCAGGTGACTAGCTGAGGATCACTAGCGTCTCCTAGGATCTGAAGAGTATTTCCAAACCACTTCTCCACAATCTCCAATCATCCCAAAGGGTTAGGGGTAGTCCCAGAGGACGTCCTGCCGCAGAAGGGTCAAGGGTAGTTCAAGAGAACGCCCTGCCGCAAATATTGTCGAGTCTCAAGGGCTCCCTAAATCATGCCACCTCGACCAGGGTATAGGCTAGTTTAACCGAAGAGTGAATTTATCTCTACTCAACATTTCCAGGATCGGGTCCTTTGTTCGGACTCCATTACGCCCATGGTTCTGGTGCTGTGACAACCCTCACCACTGATTAGTGCTAATCTACGATTAAGCATGTTAAGTGACTGATTGACTGAAATTCTGAACTGATTGATTGGGTGTATTAGTTTAAATGCAAATCTATCTGTTTGACTGCTAAATGATCTGTTCATGTTTTATGTTTTAAACTGCAAATTGAAGGCCTTATCGGCGGCCGAATCTGAAATTGATTAGTGTTTTATGCTAATTAGAATCTATGGGATTTTATGGCATGTTTAATTTCAATGTGATTCGGTATGATTAAATTGGGTTAAATAATGTTAAATTACATTAGTTTGAATAAACTACCATTTTGCCACTTAGTGGACTAGTTCATGAGCCTTTTATTTGATTTCTATATGCTAGCATTATAACATTTCTTCAGCCATTTCTTGAACCATAATCGACTAGAAAGAGAGAGAGTGAGAGGAAAAACTTGATTTCAACAATTTAGCTTGGAGACTTGAAGATTTTGAAGAGAGATTGCATAATTGAGCTCCTAGACTTGAAATTAAGGACTCAAGGTAGGAGAATCATTTTCTTGAATTTGTATTGAAGTTGTGTCTTGCATGATTCATGGTAAGGATAGTGATTTAAGGCATGAATTAGCTTAATATGTTGAATTGAGTAGGAATTCATGCATGCATGTACACATTGTTGAGTTTCATGCTTGGAGACAAATCTGAAAATTCCAGATTTTGGATCCACTCTCGAGCGAGGAACTCCACGCTCAAGCATACACTCTGAGTTCATGCAGTCCACTCGAGCGAGTAAAGTGACGCTCGAGCGTGAAATGCGTGTATCCAGTACATTGCATATGTTTACAATCTGCTCGAGTGAGGAAATGCACGCTCAAGCAAAAACTTGTGTCTCACGCTTGAGCGGGGGTCGAGCGCCCGTCGAACATGAATTTCATGCATCCAGTACTTTTGCAGTCCGCTTGAGCGAGGAAAGTCACGCTCGAGCGGAGCTCCTTTGTCTGCATGTCCGCTCGAGCGTAGAAAGCCACGCTCGAGGAAGACCCCTGTTTTCTGAAAATTCTGAAAAGTGTTTTAAGGTGCATCTTTGCATCCTCATTCCATCCTAGGCATTCCTAGGCCTAGTTTAAGGCATCTTAATGAGGATATTAATGTAGAACCACATCGAGTCAAGATAGGGACTAAGTTATTGTTTCCCAAACGTGCAACTTAGTGTGTGTTCATCCTGTAACTGTGTAGGGTTGGCATCCGAGGACGCTTACTAGCCTATCGGTAGCCCAGAACTCTGTGAGTAACAATGTTGTAAAGATATATTCAATCATGAATATTTTTTGAATGACCAACTGTACTACTTTCTGAAATGATATTTCTTACTGAATGAATGCTTGTCCTATTTGCGAACTGTATTCGTGGCATCCATAGCAATTTACTGTTACTGTACTATACCGCTACTGTCACAGAGATCTCTATCGGTTCCCATGCTTGGAACCACTATTGTTTACTAATATGATGGCCATCAACTGACTGTTCGGTCTGTTAAGACCTACTGTATTGTTTGTTATTGGATGTACCACTTATGACTGCTATGATCGATTAACTGATATACTGTTCAAATGACTATTTTAAATACTGAAAGGACATTCATTCCTAACCTCTTTACGCATATGTTATTCACTAGGCTTTAGCTTACAGTTTATATATATATGTAGGTGTCCAGGCACCGGATCGGAGCTAGAAGTGTTGGGTTAAACTTCCTTTTTGTCAAGCCAGCCACTGTGCCTCACTGAGAGGTTCCAAGTCCTTCAAGCTAGGGCTTTTTGGGGTGTTTTAGATTCCCCCTTTCTGTTTCTGTTTTGTATAGACTGTATGAGACTTGTACTGTACTATTATGGTAGGGATTTGGTCCCTAACCTGAATGCCTGTATATGATGTATGTTTATACCGTTATGGTTTGAATGTGAATACATTATGAAAAGTCTTTTTGCATACAGACTGTCACAGCTCATTGGACATCTTTTATTTACTGTTTTGGCTTCCGCCAGCCCCTGTACTCTGTATTACTATCTTTACTGTTAAGTAGGCCTTCGGTAATCACGGATTACTGGCCGATTATGGTGCTAAACCCATTGGGGCGGCTTTGGGTCGTGACAGGTGCGTAGATCCCGGAAATCTCTGAGTCCGCAAGTGTTCTGGGACTCATTAATAGAGCGACTTCTAGATTACATCTAAATCCATTCGAAGCCAAGCGCTTCGGATCTCTAAGTTCGTGGTTTCGAACCCTTTCAAGACTTAGAGCAATTCGGCCTATTTGATGGCGATAAATCCGGACCCACCAATCTTGCATTTGCGATAAATTTGGGCCCACCAACCTTGGACTATTAGGCCTAATTAATTTAGTGGGCTCAAATTAGCTCCTCTTACAGTATCAATTTAAGTCACTATCCCTTGTTCTTGAGATGATAGAACTACATAACGATTCTAATTGTAATTTGTTATGCTCATATTCTCTCAGTTAATGCTTGCCTTTGTCTACAAATTGGCAATATAGCATTCTGTTGCCTTTTCTTCTATTTCGTCATTTCCTTATCAAGTTTGTGTATTCATGTGCAGAGTATTGCATGTGAAGCAAAAAGAATCATTCGGTTTATAGTTTTGTGTCACAAAGATTAAGCAGTGCTCAAGATTTGCAAGTGGTATTTATTTTCTTGCTCTCTCTTTCTCACACACATTTGATCTAGTTATCTCATTTTTGACAAAATGAGAGCTGATTACCTAACGTTCATAATTGGTTATCTCACCCAAATTAAAAGAAATCAAGTGAAGAGAAAACTAAAAGAACTGAAAATTGCATTACAATATAGATGAGAGTTCTAAACTTTCAATTGTTTTGAAGGTATTAAGTTCTCTTCATTTGTTCCATGTACCTCAGCACCTCATTGCTTTAAAAAGTGTTGTCAATTGAAGATTTTGATGGATTAGAAGCTCTGCTGGAGTGTCTGAGTAACCTTTCATCTCTTCATTCTTTGAAGCTTCAGGATTGCGAGAATTTGATGAATCTTTCTACTCTGAAAGCAATACAACACCTCACCAATTTATGATCTTTGCATACTTATAATGGAAAGATGTGCAAGGGAAAGCAGACAAGAAAACCAACTGCCAATTGCCAAGAAAACTAGTGTATGGGTTTTTTATATTGAAATTTATCACATGAAACGTTGGCTTTTGTATATGCTTATTTACTTTCATCATATATATGACATGCTTCATGGATAAGCTATGTTCATTTCTCCAAGACCCTAGTAGGAACTAAACAGATTGTATTTATTTATTTATTTATTTTAAATATTATAAAAAACTAACAATGTATTCTGATTTTCCAGACTTTGGCGATTTTCATTCCCATAATTTCAGACATCAGCAGCAGCGCCAACCATATCTTGATACAATTTGCTTATCATTCATCACAGTGGCGGTGCCAGTAGTGGCAACAAACACATCATTGAGCTCTACTCTCGGAGGTTTATATTGACAAAGAAAATGGTACAAGTGCTTCAAAGATTTGGCTTTTATGCATTATAATTTTCTAAATATTTGTAGTAGACGTTGAGTCATCTGAGGTCTCTTGATTCTATTGTGAAATCTATTCTTCTTCTTTTTTTAGTAGTAACTTTAGTTCATAAAACAGAAGTCATTGAAAGGAGTGTATTTGCTTTCTTTAGTTGAAGTCAGGATCATTCTTTTGAACAAAAGTAAAAGCATTCATATTCAACACAACAGCGAAATACTCCAAAGAGATCTCGCAAGTAGTGGTTGTTATTTTTTGGACCAATTTTGATTTTCCTGTTTTGCAATTTATGTGAGGTAAATAGATTTTTTTTTCTCCTTTTGTCACTGAATCAAATATATAATCCTGCCCAGATTAGCAAAGATGTTCATTTCATCATAGATCATCACCTCTCATTTCTAATTTTGAAACGACAGGTGGTGGTTGAAACCTAAAGCTTGTCATCAATCTATAAAACTCTTGAATTCATTTTAGAAATTTAAATTCATAAATTCAAATGAAACTTAATATTCTTCCAATTTCATGTTCACGTGAGGCATTTTTCCATGACAATGCAGATTGATCATCAGGCATTACAAAAAGTATTGATGGTATTCACATGTAATTTAACATTGAGAACTTGTAGCATAGTCGACCAACTCAAACAAACAGAGATATTCATTGGACCCCACCAACTTCATTTTTTTTTAATTACAAATTTATCTTACTAGTAAATTATAATTTTGCCCTCGCCCCTAACCACCGATCTCACCCCACTCCCATCCTAGCCAACATTCTCTCCCATCATCCCAAATCTGGCGACCTTCCGCACCCTCATCCGCTTTTCTCCAACTCCTCCATGTGACCCTTACCCCTAAATTTTCCACCTCCCTTACCACTCCGCTGATGAGGAGGGGGGTCACCATTGGCTAGAGGTGAGGAACTGTTAGAGGAATGGAGTTACACGGGTAGAGATCCAAAAAAAGGTAAATTTAGTATTATGGTGGGTGTTCAAAGAAAAATAAAATAAAAAAAGAAGATAGGAAGCAATTTTGGTGAGTGGAAGTCTAATAAAGTAGGAATTCCAAAGAAATAACATGGGGTTACTAGTAGCACCCTAAAAAAAATTGTTAACAAATAATGTTTTCGTGTTTGCAATTATGTTAACAATTTTGGCATTTAAAAAAAAAAAAAGAATTAATAAGAGATTATTTACAAATGTAAAGAGAATTAAATCTAAACAATTCTAGCTGAACAACTATAGAAGTCCAACAATACCTAACAAAGAGGCTATGAAGAATAAATAAGAAATAATGTTACAAATCTCAACAACCAGCTCAACAAAAAACACAATAATTTTAAAGAAAATTATCAATTTTTACCTTTTGGCAAGAATTAACCCCTTGAAGTATATAGGAATGGCCAATTGAGCTAATCAAATTGAATTTTTAACATCTCGTTTGAAATTAGTTTAATTTGACTCAAAATTAAAAAAATTAAAAACTAAATGGACAAAATTAAAATTTACAAATTCCATATTAATCCCTTATTAAAAAATCTGTGCAAATTCAATATGAAGTGACTAAATATAAAATGGGTCAGATCCAAGCCTTGGGTCGGCTCATCTCTTCTCCATTCTCCCCAGAAATCGAAGCCATGAGACCCCCTAATAAATTCACTCTACCAAAGTTCACGTCATACAATGGGAAGTCAGACCCACTGACACATATCAGCTATTATCAGCAGATGATGTCCTTATGGAGCCGAGACGAGGCACTGATGTGCAAAGTCTTTCCGTCTAGCTTAGTAGAATCCGGACTTTGATGGTTCGATTGTCTCCCCGCCGGATCGATTTATGACTGGAAGCAACTCTCTGAAGAGTTCTTGGCCAGATTCATCTCCAACACTAAGATCCCCAAAAAGCCAGATACACTGTTTGATCTCTGAAAGGAGCAGGAAAAAACACTGCGTAATTATGCTAGGAGGTATTGGAAGGAGTATAATGACCTAGAGGAAAATGTATGCAGTGAATAGATGGTTGTAATGTCTTTTAAACATGGTCTACACCCGGAAAGTAAGCTGAGACAGTCACTTACCAAACGTCTAGCCACAGCACTGAAAGACTTGTGTGCCAGGATTAAGCAGCACGCTCGCCTCGAAGATGATCATATCCCCATCGAGGCAGCATCAACTGAACAAATAGCTTGGCACAAAAAAAGAGCGGACCAAGGAATCACAGTGAATGAAGTAGACAAGTCTAAATCTCATGAAGCAGTTGTGACCGTATTCAATGAACCAATCTATCATATTATGGAAAAGATCAAGAAAGAGCCATTATTTATTTGGCCGCCAAAAATGTTGAGAGATCTAGCTCGGCATAATTAGAAGCTCAGATGCAGGTATCACCAAGACAGGGGGCATATGACTCAGAATTGCAGAGCATTGAAACAACACCTAGAAGACTTGGTAACTGCTAGACACCTCAAAGACTACATTGATCAGGATAAAGTGGTGGCACCAAACATTGAGCATCCTCCTCAATTGGTAATCAATATAATCCATAGAACAACTAGCCACGAACGCGAGAAGGCACTCCAACAAGAAATTGCCAAAGCTGTGCAGATTCAGCAGGTCATGTCAGTAGGGCCTATGCCGAAAAAGGTACGTACAATACCCAAGCCCCCCTTGTGCACTGTTTCATTTACTGGAAAGGATTTAGAAGGCATTCAGCACCCACATACTGATGCACTGATTATAACTGTGGGAATTGGGAAACGATTTGACGTAAAACAAGTCCTAGTATCAAGGTAGTGCAGGAAATATATTGTATTACGACTTGTTCAAGAAGTTCGGACTCTTTGAGCAACACCTCACCCCGGTGGCAGGTCCATTAGTCGGCTTTAATTCACAGCCTGAATGGCCACTCGGCAAGATAGTGTTGCCAGTCGTGGCTGGGACAAAGACCTTGCAGATAGAATTTCAAGTTATTAATACACCTTCTCCTTACAATCCCATACTCGGTCGTCCTTGGATTCGCCAAATGGAAGTATTCCCCTCAATCTACCACCAGCTCATCCGCTTCCCAACGGAACATGGAGTAGAGCAGATCTCAGGGGACCAAGTTACGTTAAAATATTGCTTCATGGTAGCTATAAAGACTAAACAACTCTGCAATCGAGTACAGACAGTTGAAGTAACCGAACAGCCAGTCTTGGAGGATGTCGAAGGAACCCCAGTGAAAAAGATAGTAGAGGATTTGGAGAAAGTCCTAGTAAAGGAGGATGATCCAAAAAAGTATTTCCTTATCGGTACCTCGCTAGGCGCTAATGAGAAACTCCAGCTGCTAGATTTGCTGAGGGAAAATATAGAGGTTTTCGCATGGTCAGCGTATGATACTCCAGGCTTGAACCCAAATTTTGCTTGCCATAAACTCAACATCAAGCCTTTCGCTCAGCCCATTGTGCAGAAAAGCCAAAGATCCTCAAGTGAGCACACTGAAGCAATAATTATCGAGGTCGACAAACTCCTAGCATCGGGGGCGATTCAAGAAGTTTAGTACCCACAATGGCTGTCCAACACAGTTGTAGTAAAAAAGAAGAATGGAAAATGGAGAGTTTGCGTTGACTTCACCTGCCTAAACAAAGCTTGTCCCAAGGATAGCTTTCCTCTGCCTCGCATTGATCAGCTAGTAGACTCAACGGCGAGACATGAGCATATGAGCTTGCTGGATTCTTATAGTGGCTATCACCAAACACCATTGTTTGGCCCAGATCAAGAGAAGACAACATTCATTACTCCAAGAGGCACCTATTGCTACAAAGTAATACCGTTCAGCCTCAAGAATGCCGGGACAACCTACCAGGGAATGACCACTCAAATGTTCAAGGACCAGCTCAGAAGAACCATGGAAGCTTACATAGACAATATGGTAATGAAAAACAAGCTCGCTACAAACCACCTTACAGACCTGAGAGAAGTTTTTAGTATCCTGAAAAACCATCAGCTTCGCCTTAATACCTTGAAATGCGCCTTAGGGGTAGGAACAAAAAAGTTCTTGGGGTACATGGTGACTCACAGAGGAATTAAGGCAAATCCGGATCAAATCAAAACAGTACAAGAGCTTGAAGTACCAATAAAGGCTAAAGAGCTACAGAAACTGGCTGAAATGGCAGCCGCCCTGAATCGGTTCAATAGCAAGTCTTCAGATCGAATGAAGCCCTTCTTTCAGCTACTAAGGAAAAATGCCGCCTTTGAATGGGGTCCTGAATGTATCAAAGCATTGCAAGGCCTTAAAAAGTATCACAATACACCACCTCTCCTGTCCATTCCAGAATCGAGGGAAGAACTATACCTATATCTGGCAGTCTCATATCACGCCGTAAGTGCGGTATTGATTTGAGAGGTTGAAAAGGAACAGAGGCCAGTATACTACATTAGCAAGACTCTACTAGATACCGAGACACGGTACCTATCCTTGGAAAAGCGAGCTTACGCACTACTCATCTCCTCCAAGAAGCTGTAACATTACTTTCAGGGTCACACCATTAATGTCCTCACCGAATTCGCCCTTAGATCTGTTTTCAACCGAGATGATTTCTCCGGCCGAACAGCGAAATTGGCGGTTGAACTTAGTGAGTCTGACATTCGATATCAACCCAGAATAGCAATCAAGGCCCAGGTCTTGGCATATTTCGTCACCGAATTCGCTCCCACCGAGAGCATCGAGCGTGAGAACTCCAGCTTGGTACAGGTGCCATGCACCACTGAACTAGGAAAACAATGCGCTTCATAATCATGGAAACTCTTTATTGGTAACATTTGACAGCTCTATGTCGACGAATCATCCAATAACCGAGGCTCGGGACCAAGGGTAGTACTTATGTCACCAGAAGGATTTATCTGGCAGCAATAGGGGTGTTTGCGGATCGGTTTGGGACGGTTTGCGGTTCGATTTGGACCCGCCCGCATCTATGCGGTTTAAGGAAAAGTCAACCTGCAACCGCCCGCAATACGGTTTGCGGTTTGTGTAGATAGGGTTCGCGGATGTGCGGACGTGGATTGAAATTTGTTCCAAAAATTTGTTTTTAAACCCTTTTTTTTTCTTCCCATTTTGTCAATATTTCTTTTAGACCTTTGTCCTCCCATTTTCTAAAATGCTCTAACATTAATAATTAATGAATCAAAACTTGTAAAGAGCTTATAAAATAAAAAACACAACAAAATCAATTCGTAACCTAAACGAATCATTCAAAATCTACATTCATCATTAACTTGCATTCATCCTACGTTCA